TAAGTAGATTATCATCAGCTTAGTCGACTAATAAATAATTTGCTATTACTGTTCCTTGTAAATCGGCTTTACTCCATTGTAGTCAAAATAAATTCGTAATATACATAATCTCTTTCTAAGATAAAAATTGCTAATCTATAAAAATTAACCTATAATCGATTGCATAGCCATAATCTTTATAATAAAAGTAGATTTTAATATCAAAGTAAGTTTAAAATAATGTCTTATATTAATAAAATAATCATTTAAAATATAATATTAAAATTAATAGAATTACAAAATTGTGATAAAGAATAATAAAAGCTAAGAATGCTTACACACATACACAGATTTTGATTATTTGAATTTCAGCAAATTGATTCTTCTGTCTTACGGTAAAATCAAACGTGTTACAAGCAATAATTATTAATTAAGACTTAATAGTTTCGATAAAGTTGAATAAGCTGCTTGAATAAAGCAGTTGAAGTAAATTGATGTGAAATAAGTTTTTAGAAATATGATGATCAGGTTGCAAAAGTTATAATTAATAAATATCGCGACATAATAACTAATGGAGATTACACAATTAATAAATAAACTCAATCCAATGCCGAATTATTTATTTCGCTGGATGGTTTTTGATTTTGTTTCGAGGACATAATGATTTATCGCTAAGTCTATTAGACAAGCGACTGACTCTATCGATTCTTACTTCATCGCACTGTCGACTTGAATAACGTTTTCCATCCGTAACGGTAACCGCTGCACGTACTTCAAACGGAGTAGACGGTCTACTTTAAAAATCGAAGCTCCGCGCACAATCTATCTGCAGTGCACACGGAGCTATATAAAATTATGAATTATTCTCCCTCGTCGAATACTTTGTCGTCCAACCGGAATTACAATAACGACTGCTCTTATTTCCAAACTTCGCGCAAACTGTTGATTAGAGAATCCTTTATTATTTTAATAACTAGCCTCGTTTTATATTCGTCTTTCTCTCGACGATCCAGTGAGGGATTTATTGGAAATAAACTTGTTGAAATGCTTTCTATGTGTCATCCGTGATTCTGTTATTGGGAAAATAATTAAGAGTTACCGAAGCAACTACTGTCACCGTAGATACATGATTGATCACATCTTGACGTTAATTGGAAACATCTACATGCTAGTTAAGAATATGACAAATGATCAACAAAGTTTACGGCTTCGTCGAACGTCCAAATATATTTTTTACGCATCATACAGCCCACGTACGTTGACCGAAAATCTCTTTCGACATCATCTATTTAACTCTGAGTACACTTTCGTGTTTAAGGCCTATTATTGTTAATAACACGAGCTGTTTAATGTACAGTCAAACTCGCATGCCCTTCCATTAAGTCGATCGCCCATGCTTATATAAATTATGGGCATACATATGCCTCGAAGATAGAGACGAAAAAACTATACTATCATTTCATCAACCTTTTCGTTTTGACGTCTCGTACGCATCATTTTCGTTGGACTGTCTGTATGAAGTCATTATGTCAGACAATGACCGGTCATTTATTATCCCAATGAACAGCATCCACGCGTACTACGAGATTAACGTTATTTGTTTGAAAGATCACCTTGCTTCGTTCGACAAAGTTGCCTTGAGCGTCGCTTTTATTTCTGCAATATTTTTTTATAGCTGTGAATTCAAAGAAATGTACGGTTACATTAATCGTTTTATACTCGTTTTATCATCGACTAATAATAGAAAAAGAAAAATACACACACAACTCATATTCAAAAGCTAACCAATTTAATCGCGATTACGTCTTAAATCTCGAATGGGTTCGTTATTATAAATCTATTAGCTTGAACGTAAAGGATATTTTTAAACTTAACAGACACACAATTTTTTATTTCTAAATATATTGAAAATCTGGCACTTATTCATACTAGATTTTTTTTTAATCTCTTTATTATCATCAAATGCATACCGAATTATTCAGCGATCTTATTGCAGAATTTATTTACTGTATTATATATTACACTAACTGCGCGATCTCTTTTTATTTTTATTTTTCGTTCTTCAGTGCAAAATATATAGCTTCTCTGAATCTCTCATCGTTCGGTAACATATTGGCGGCTATCAGTTGAGAAAAAATAGCTGCGTACGTTTTGCTGTTGAAATAACGCTGTATTTCATTTCCCGATGGCGAGAGCGAAGCCATGAAAAAGGAAAAAGGGAGAGGAGGAGAAAAAATAAAATCCGTTAAATTTACGTTACCAATAAAAAGAAAAATAAACGTGGCATCCAGCGCGCGTTCAACCGAAGCAATCATCTTCGAGATTCAGGACCCTCCCGCGCATTTCGTGAAAACCGGTAAAGATTACTTATTTATGGTTTCCCCGTGTGCGGTAAAGGAGGAAAGGACCGCGATGTGTGTGCCCGCGTACGTTTGATGTTGCCTACCAATCGTCAAAGTTAAAGAGAGTGACCGCTGATGGATCTGTTTTCTACGTAGGAAGGTTATTTATGAACCCTACGATTCTTCCTAACAGCGATCTGTACCGGGAACGACGTGGGCGTTTGGGATTCATCACGAGCACAGATACGCGTCATGACTCGAGTATCCGTTCGCTAAGCAACGGAGTGAGAAACACGCCAGCGGCGTACATGATGACGGTCGTTACGTGTCGAAATAAGAACCACGTTACACAGTAATAATGATCATAAAATAAGCGACAGATTGTACATTGATTGATTTGTAGGCGAGAAAGAGATGTTACGTGGATTTAACAAGCGCGTGTGGTTTATCGATCGATACGGGAAAAACATTCAAAATTATCTTTGCAAGGCAATCGTGTGTTTTTCAGCGAGTGACGATGTACTGCGAACTTTAACGCGGCAGCGCAGCAGTTATTCACGCTACACACAGCTTCCGCCCGGTTTATCAATTAGTCATTAATAATTTTCCTGTCTGTGACATTGCATCGATGGTTTCATCCGTGATGTAAATTTTTCGTGTCAACAGCATATATGCGCGCGAATTATTCGAAACCGCGAATGTGTCATTCTTTCGAGAGCGAGAAGTGCTCTGACATACTAATAATATCGTCGCAGCCATGACTATATTTTCTCTGAGTAAGTGTTAGCACAGAGAGAGAGAGAGAGAGAGAGATAGAAAAAGAGAGAGAGAGAGAGTGCAATAAACTATACAACTAGAGCTATGACGGTTTAGAGCGTCGGGGATATCATCCACGCTAATACACTCGTGTTCGTGCTCGCCGTCGTTGGCTATGACGTCAAAGAAGGAACGACCCGACCTCGGGGTATCTTCCATTTTCCACTGTATCTCTCTCATCCCCCTCGAACTCGTGGAAAATGTATGATACGCCCACTCGCGGAGTTAAACTGCTATTTTTCTTGTGATAAATGAAATTGTTTTGCGCGCGGCGCTTGTCACGCTCGCGAACGTTTCGCGAGTTTGTGCCGAGAGCTTCCTCGAGTTTCCTTCCGAACCGCTTTCGAAACTTCTCTCTCGGGATTAGATGAGTTCGGAAGAATGTGCCCGTTTCGTAATAGGATCGTATCCCGCAACAACAGTATCTTGATCGAATGAAACGCAATCGTGTATGATTTATAAGTGTCACATTGTTAAACGCACGCGTTAAGCCTCATTGTGTTAAACGTATTAATCGATAATAGATCTTTATATAGCTTGTTTTATATTATAATTTTGTATAGATTCTCTCTGTATAATGCTAGAACATGAGAAGTGATGAAAATATTTTGGGAAAAATCAGAAAAATATTGATTTAATAAAGTTAATAAAAAATTATGATAATAGACTTGAAATTTCATTGCCAATTAATAATATGGTAAGGCAAAAAGTAGTTCGATATTGTCGAAAGTATCGGTATAACCGAAAGCGCAAGTCAAAAGGTCAACTAAACATATGTTTGCTTATCGCGTTTCTCATGTCGAGCGACCTATCGTCCTATATCGGAAAGCCCCGGCTGGTATTCTAATTTCAGATTCAGAGCGTCGAGAGCTCTGCGACCGCTTCGGACCCTTCCGCAAACACTTTGCACGTTCTCGCAATATCTTCGCGGATCTCGACGCGGAAGACACTGACTGCGCACGCCTTTGAACATGTCACTGGCGGACGCGATCCGTTTTCCCGGTTACTTTCGCCCCATTTTCTCCAGCTTTTCGTGGAAGGTATCGGCGTTTTATAGCACGATCACGAAAGTCCGTGGACTTTCAAGATTGGCCGGTCATGTTGCGATCGGACGTCGAGGGACGGAACTCTAGCGTGGTGATCGATGAGATCCCTGGTAGCGATCGCTCCTGAGGTACGACGTTCCCGCTCGAAGCGATCGAGATCACGTCAGATGAGACGTTGGCAAACGCGTCGTCGTGGAAAGATAGTGTGTCAGAGAGAGAGGAAGACACACAGAAAGAGAGAGAGACAGAGAGAGATAGAAAGAAGGAGGAGACAGCTCATTAAAACGCGATACCTCCATCTACATGTGAATCTAATCGGGTAGATAAAACCGCAGCGACATCAAACCACCATCGTCTACCTCATCATGGGAAAGGACTTTAAACTCAAATAGAAGCTCACCTTTAATCGTCAGCATGTACATCACTGCTAAATTCTCATTTAATGAGACCTAATCCTGGTGTTTTCTTGTTGGTGAAAATCATATTAGCGTTTTACCTGTCGTAGTAATTATCGTGTCATTGGTATCTTAGAAGCTCGAAGTGATTGATTATAGCATCCGTTGATCGTTCTTACGAATTAAGCTACAGTTTCCTCTCGGAAATAAGGAAAAGTCTTGGGATTTATGATATTTCTGCTGATATATTAAAATTTTAGTTGAATTGCTCATGGATTAATGATGGGATTTAATATTTCCAATTTACGATGATTCGGAATTAGGCTTAATCGATTTAGAATATATATTGCGTATATCTAAAATATTTTTTAAAAAAGAAAGATTCTCTCTTATTTATATATATATTTCTTCCTTTGTTGCAGTACCGATTGTTGCCATTAATGGTGTAGTCGGAAACAAGGTGCAGCTCCCTTGCGACATTTCGTCTGATAACGACGAAGTCAACATGGTGCTTTGGTACAAGGAAGGCGGGTCTGAACCAATTTACAGGTGAGATTTTGAATAATTTAAAGCTATAACTATACTTATATATATAATTGCTTTTTTTAAATATTAAAATTCCTTTTATTTGATCGATTCCTGAACTCTTTGAATCTTTATATTTGCTCTTGTATCACAAATTTACGTATATATATTTTTTTACATACGTAAATATACTTTCTATCTACGTTTCTAAATTCCCAATATATGTACCGAAGAGAAACGCGTTGAAAAAAGATTTTTCTCGAATGCAAAATGGGTAGTGAAGACTTTTTTCCCAATGCAAAAATCATTCTTATCATCTATAAAGTTCACTTTCTCGGAAGAAATCAAAAAGGAATGAGCGCGATGGTTCAGGTCCGGAAATTCCTCGCGTTATTTTCCGCGATGAAGTTCATTCGCTCTACTCGGGTCGCCGTTTCGCTTCCGCGGCCTGTGAAATTTTGCATATAGAATGGCCGTCCCGCTCACCGCGGGGGGAAGCAAGGAGAGACGGTGCCCCCTCCTCAAGAGAGAGGAGGGGGACTTTAGTATCCGACGGGTCATATTTAAGAAATGTAATAAGGTGTAAGATATGTGCGGGGGGATGGCGATGCATCGTCCCGCGGTAAAGGCCGGGGGCGAAGAGGGTGCCGAGCTGGCACTCGGTTCGAGGAACGCCGTCCCGCCTTGTTGTAAAGTCAGTTTAATCCTCGCCGCGACGAAGAACTTTAAATTTAAAGGCGCCCGTCGTACTAAAGCGTCTCTCTCTCCCTTGTTCTCTTGGCCCCCTCCCTTCCTCTCTCCCTTCCCCCTTGGCGTCGACTCATCCCTTCGCGGGACCTTTCGGAGTAAAATATTTATTGCGTGACATCGTGCCCGCTTATCGTACGCTAGACCGTTAAGAAAAGGAAACTCTGCGAGACTACGTGGACATGATCGCGCGCACAGCCCTTTCTTAGATCCCCCTTTCTTGTGAATGTATTCAACGTCTCGTTTGCGATACAGATAATCCGTATGACGTTTAAATCTCATCAGGATTGCCTCTCAAGCTGTTTTACTTATTTAACTAAAGAACAAGCAGTTTTCTTTCACACTTTTATTTAACCATATTAATTTAACCATATTAATTTTAACGGTTCGATAAAATTTCCATAATCCTTGAAGATGATTGAATTTTTTTCGCGTCATCTATATCGGAGTTCGTTTAATTTTTCATTTAGTTAAGGCGAGAGGGATAGGGAGAGTCAAACAATTGACTACGTTCTTCATAATATTTGATCGCGATCACATTAGAGATCTTTGAGTTTCAATATTACTCTATAATATTGAGCACTCAGCGTCTCGATCGAACAAAACGCTCGATAATATTTACAATCTCTCGGGCGGTCTTCGCATTTTACCTATAATAGATAACACTTCGCAAAATCGAATCCACTCAATTCCCATTCTACGTTCTCTCTCTCAGGAAAGTTTCAAGACACTTAGAGCCACCGAAGCGACCTGGTAAATTCTTTTCCTCGTGTGAGACTTTATAAAGTAATCGGTTTTTTAGTGAGTGCCCGACGTAGTAGAAAATAATAGCTAAATAAAGGACACGTTTACTCTTGCAGAGACCTAAAGTGTTGTTTCAAAATGTCTTTCAATAAATCGTCGAAAATTTATATTACCTTTATCTTTACAAAAATAATTTGCGATACAACCGAGGATACGAAATCGATTCTCTGTACGTTTTATCAAATTTTTGATCAAGACGACACTCTCGTCTATTACACTCGGCTTTTGAAAATGGTGGGTGCCACTTTATCCGCAAATCGTTTTCGCGAATTGTAAAGAGCAACACAGAGTTAATCTACACTGCAATCTTCCAAGATAACGAAGAAACGCCTGCAGGCGATGCCTTTCCGGAGAGTCTCGACGAATCAGCCTCTCAAGTCGTGATCGACGAGTCGGGTGAGTAGGCAGGCGACCGATCGATCTTGAGAGTCGCTCCGCCGTCGACGAACGCAAGGAGCCCGAAGTCGGAAGACCGATATGGGAAAATCGCTTTTCAGGATTATCGCTCGCGAGAAAAGTCGGTCAAACGTGTTATATCCGCGGGTCGTTCTCGCGCTCGACAAACCGGAGTTGTACTCGACCGCTTCCAAGGGCTGCTTTATCTAGGACAAAACGAGACGGACGGACGCGCAACGTCGGTGGCGCGTTATAGAAGCGTCCGGTCTCGTCTGTTGAAAGTGCGAAGTGGAAGAATTAAATCGTATTTCAACGTCAATGCCGCGGAAGCAAGAGCGCGAGGGTGGGATAGCTTTGGGAATACTCAGTCACGAGCGAAAATCCGAACTCTCATGCAGTCGCGGAACGCAATTTAACTTTTAGTCGCTCGCGGGGAGCCGTTAGAAAGCTCAGTCATGTTCTCTGTTCCCTACGTTCTCTCTCTCTCTCTCTCTCTCTCTTACTCCTTCGTCTCGAGTTACCCCTCTTCTTTCTGTCACGCGCGCGAACCCTCTTATATATCCTCTTATATATAACAGTCCCTCTAATCCGTCTCCTTTTGTTCTCGTCCTTGCTCTCATCCGCGGATGCTTAATATGCAATCACGCACTGGGAACAGTTCCCATGTGACTTCCATGTATATAGACATACCCATCCGACTACTAGTCTCGAATCATAGTTCCGCGAACGGTTCTCTAGCAGAGCTGATCGCGATAAAAATGTGTTTGAACGACATGTGTTTGAATCCTGCGAGCAATAAAGATCCTGAATTTAATCTTTTAGACTACCATTCAAATTTATTGAATTCACATTCATTTGCAAAAGCTTTGCGTATGTAATTAAACAAACAAATGAAATTTTCTTATTAGATTTCATTTGTCGCGCGCGCGTAAATTTAATTATAATCATGCAAATTATACTGATTATAATTTTATTATCACGATTAAAGATATTTGTTTTTATAACCGAGGAGAAATCTTTTTAATGTTATATGTATAATATTATATATTCTATCATTCACTATTCAGGAATACGTTCATTTATTATGGTAACTATAATTAATTCAATCACGACAAGCTTTCTATAACGTCGTCAGTATAGCCGTTTCAATTGACTGCAATTACATCGCAAATTACGTAATTAAATTGGCACAGTTTTTGATACGAATAACGAGCAAAGCGGTAATTATCCACGATAAATTGACTCTTATTACGAGGAACGAGTATTCTATCGGAAACATTCTAGTATTCCATATTAGCGAAAAACATTGAAATTTCATATTATATAATATACAAGTATAATTAAATGCAGCATATATATATTAATAATACGCACATAATATTCATCCACATCATAATAATTCGCAGAGCGAATGTGCAATCGTTACAGGTCGAGTACAGAAAAGCTAATCGATTTGTTGTAGCTTTGATGTACGCGGTAGTCGGCAATTCAGCGACGCCCGTCTTTGGTCGTCGCCCTCGGCATTGGGACCAAGAGCTTTTTTTATGTCAGCGACGAATCCAGCTCACCTCAGCATCGATCGGCTGCAGGGCGTGGACGAGGGGATCTATCGGTGCCGGGTGGACTTCAGAAACTCGCCGACGCGGAAACAAAAGATGAACTTAACCGTTATAGGTGAGCGCATTGTATCGCGGTGAAACTCAATCAACCCGGCGATCACGCAACAATTAAAGTCGGTCCTTTTGATCAAACGCGGTTTAATAGAGGTCGCGTCAAAGTATCGGAGCAAGAAGCACCTTCGAGAGAGCGAGCGCTTTCATACACACGGGCACACATATACGACGTGTAATTAAACGACGCTAAATATATAAACGTACAATTCGTCAGGCGATGCGTAAAGTTGGCGCGTTTACGTATACATTTGCCCTCGATACATTTCGTGGGCGTTGACTTATGAACTCGGCGCTTTCCGGGGCATAAATTAATCCCGGCGTAAGCCGCGCGGTTTGCTCCGCAAACTGAGAGCTTCTCTCTCGCCGCGGTAATATACTATACTTCGTAACTATGACCTGTTTTGGGGCCCATTATAACAGTTAATTCTGCTACAACCGAGCCAAAGTTCCCTCTCGGATTCCACCGCATCGACCGCATACGCATCTCTCCGCGCTGACTGTCGCTTCGCTTGACAAACGATCGATTAACATCCGCGCTGGATTCTAACGACGCATGCTGTTCGCACAGTGCCTCCGTCGAAGCCGATAATATTGGACGAGGCGATGAAGAACATTGGGCAACTCCGGGGCATCGAGGAGACGTACAACGAGGGGAACGACGTGAACCTGATTTGCGAGGTACGTGGCGGCAAACCGCCCCCGAAGCTGACGTGGTATCTCGACAACACCGTGATAGACGAGTCCTATCTCTACAACGCCGAGACCGGGATAACGGTTAACCACTTGGCGTATCCGAAAATTGGCCGACAGCATCTCAAGGCGAGGCTGATCTGTCAGGCCAGCAACACGAATTTGGTGCCACCGCAAACCAGGCTCCTCATCCTCAACGTGAATCGTAAGTCGTTGACAATTTTCTGTATATCTTTTCGCGATTTCTTTTTTTTTCTATCTTTCTTTTTACTATCCGGTGAAAATGCCTTTTTTAATGAAAAGCAATTTTGTGTTAGTTTTTAGTTTTTATCTTTCGTCTCTCTCAAGTTCGTACACGACCCAATTTCGCGCGGCATTAAATATCACCAACACCGTGATAGACGAGTCCTATCTCTACAACGCCGAGACCGGGATAACGGTTAACCACTTGGCGTATCCGAAAATTGGCCGACAGCATCTCAAGGCGAGGCTGATCTGTCAGGCCAGCAACACGAATTTGGTGCCACCGCAAACCAGGCTCCTCATCCTCAACGTGAATCGTAAGTCGTTGACAATTTTCTGTATATCTTTTCGCGATTTCTTTTTTTTTCTATCTTTCTTTTTACTATCCGGTGAAAATGCGTTTTAATGAAAAGCAATTTTGTGTTAGTTTTTAGTTTTATCTTTCGTCTCTCTCAAGTTCGTACACGACCCAATTTCGCGCGGCATTAAATATCACGTTTACGCATGTCATCACAATAACGTAATTCTAATTTGCAATGCTATGACAATGCGACATTTGCTTTTCATAGTGGTATGTATTAACCAAATGAATCAGTCCGCAACGTAAAAATGGGTCCCCACAGACTCCGTCCGGTGCACGTAATATTTTCGCTCAGCGTCACGCGAGGTCGAGGATAATTGCGTTTACGTAAATACTGTATATCCGAAAATAGTGTTTTTACATAAACAAGAGAATAGAGAGAGAAAGGTTCTGACTGTGTAATAACTTTGGCGCTGAGTCAGCATGTCGATCATTTCGCTCGCGCAAAAAGCGAAGGCACCTTTCGGTGACGCTTAAAACGAGAACCACCGATTACCTTAATGTACATCCATAGTGAATGACGATCAAGAAATGCTCTACTTATGCGACTCACTTTGTCAATCTCTGTAATGTTGCATGCTCTTGCAATGCGATTTTTTAGCGTGTTTTTTATGGGAATACCAATTTATCAAACAGATGCCGTATCTAGCTCAATTTGTTCCTAAAAAAAAAAAAAAAAAATTCTAAGTCAAAAAAACCACGAATGTGAAACTTGTTAGCATTGTTCGCTCAAATACTTCATATGACTAATACAATGATATTCTGAAATGAGATAGCACCGCACAAAGTACGAAAATATAATTTATGTTATATGTAAATCATTATAATTATCGTTGTTTTTATATAATGTTTTTGCTTTCGATAGTTATCTCGCGGGGAAGTACGGCAAATTATTGTTTACCTTTTCTCATATTTTGCTATATATAGCACAGTCGTTAAACGTAAACGTGCCCAGTAGACGTAAAGTGCTGGATATACGTAGTTCCATGTAACCATTAATGTAAGTACGCAATTATCGCGTGCATAACGAGGTACGAGAGTTCTCCATTTGCGCGTTGTGGTAAACGTGAAACTCCACCGACAAGTTGATGCGTTTTGCGAAAGAAAAACATTTAACCAGCGTAGTTCCACGTATTTTCCTATCTAAGGATGATATCTCCCTGAATGAATGTTTATTTCTATTTATGGAAACGGCATAAATGTCACAAGAACTTTTAGAATAAAGTCGCTGATCCTTAACGCCCTAATACAATATACGTCTCCACAATTGAAAGCATATAGATTATAATTTATTCTTGGTCAAAAAAATCTCGTTTATCACGTTAAAAATCTCTCGCTCGTTGATTCTATCACCTTCAAGAATAATCAAGCAGCCTATATATCGATAGAATCTGACATTGCGCGAGGAGACATAAATTCGAGAACGATTTTATGACGTATGGAGAATTTGATGTGTGTCTTTCTATTTGATCCGCGACCAGTGTTTTAGGCATTTCTCACAGCTATGTACCTACATCATAGGCGAATCGCTTCAACGGTCACAGAAGAACATGTACCGAAGGCCTTTTCACTAGTGGTCCTAGCCGGGCCAAGGTATTCACGAGCTGAACCTATTAGTCGCCCGGCCAAGATTAACCGATAGAGATAACAGTAACGCCTTTCGTAAGACGGATCAGTGAATCGCGTGCCTCTCGGCCCGCAGCTTCGATTTCGTGTTTCCTCGTCAGCACTTGGCGTGCGACAGCGCGTCCATGTTTGAGTGTGTTATTGTTGTTGCCCCAAGACCGGGGTCGATAGATGTGACGAGATGACGAGAACGCCTCCGCTCTCTCTCTCTCTCTCTCTCTCTCTCTCTGCAATAACTATAAAATGCTTGGTATTCGCGATTATAAAAGATACTTGGATATTGCTAAAGTTAAAATATGCTCTGGCAAGTACTTCATCCGAACCTTCAGGCATTTAAAGAAGCCGCGCGTCTGACGCTATAGCAATATTTTGATAGCAGAACGTAAAACAGCAAAGAAATCATACACCGCGCATGTCGATATTAATAAAAGATATTCCCCAACTGTAGTGATCGCAAAATATTTTCACGCTGCGTTTCTCGAAGACCTGAGATACAAGTGTTTTTCGACGAGGCTCTTGAGGCGCGCGCGGTCTTCTCCTTTCGTCAGGTCCGAGGAAAAAGAGAGCTCCGAGGCGTTCACCCTTTTGCCTCCCCTTACTCGACCACTCCCCGCTCGGTTCGAAGGTGACGACATCGGTGTCGAGTGTTTTTATTCCATTACCCCAGTAGCGTGCGACGCCATCCTCTTAACCACTTACTTAACCCACGACCTTTGGCCTTGTCTCCCCCTTGTTCGCGCTTGATGGCCTTCGAAAACTCAAATATTATCCGTCGTTCGATCTCGCCCCTGCTGAGAACGGGTACGCCCGGGGATTGTAGGATCTCGAGAAGCCTCTTGCGAGAGCGCCCCCGCTCTCTCTCTCTCTCTCTCTCTCTCTCTCTCTCTCTCTCTCTCTCTCTCTCTCTCTCTCTGTATACGCGTGTGCGTGTGCGCGTCTGCGAGCGCGTTAATTGCCCCCGCATCGAGGGAGGGTAAGAAGGTACTCTTGGCGCGCCAAGATATCGCATAAGTGGCGGCTGGTGAGGGGGTTCGACTCTTGTAATGACCCAGTAATGTCGTTTCAGACTTAGCGGGGAACGGCAAGGGTGGGAAGAAACTGTTCAAACCTATGGGGCGATAACGTTAATGTAAACACGCGTGAAAGCATTAGTACTCCGACGTAGCTGCAAGAGGCGCTAATTCGTAGCCGATTGATCTCGCCGATCGCGCGTTACAGACATGCGTGCGTGCACGGCATCACATTGAGGGAGACGCGCGGCGATCCGCGGCGATATAAATGCACGCCAACTTTATTTAATAGCACGGTTAATAGTAATATAAAAAAATAATAGCAAATAGAAGCATTGATCGCTCGTACGCTAATTTTATTAGAAATTAATCTTTGGCTACACTGAATCTTTTTGCGTTGTATTAGAGACTACAAGTCTTTGTTATAGTCTAAGTTAAACGTAATTATGCTATCCAAGACGTTCACCATAAAAAATTTTTGCCTATACTTGATTCTATAACTCGCACGTAAAAAATCAATCTACGTCAGTGTATATAAATTGTTGTTTCTTCTATAGATCACGGAGAATGACTTTGATTGCTTCTATTCAAAGGAATTGAATATATTATACTTCCCATAGTTATGCGGGATGGTAGTTTGCGGACAACTGTGTGTGATCCTATATCAGCGATATATAAACGGATAGTACAGTAGACGCGCGGGCATATTCTCGTATGCGAATAATTTCGTACACTCCCGCGGGTGATGCCTATTAATTCATACATTGCGATGCGCGTCGAATTCGTTCGATAGACCAAATAATAATAAGCATGCATACCCACGTTCCCGCGTGCTCGAATGCGTATCAATTCATTCTTAATTGCTGTCACATAAATCACGTTGAAATTTTAGTGGAAAATTAAATACCTTTGAAGAACGAGTTATATCTTTCACCATGATTTAACCGTTCGCTTCTATCTCAATTGGGCAATTCCACGTCTAATGCTGAAGATTTGAGAGAAATGTGTTTTGTGCGAAGATTTATAATAATCTTTTTAAAATTAAAAAGGAATAGTCTTCGAGGAGAGAAAAATTTTACCATACATATATAATAATAGATCAATTAAAGACTGTGTTTTGTGCGAAGATTTATAATAATCTTTTTAAAATTAAAAAGAAATAGTTTTTGAAGAGAGAAAAGTTTTTTACCATACATATATAATAATAGATCAATTAAAGACTAAGTAATTGTAATTTCTCGACATTTTACAATATCGCGCTGCAGCGAGATTTGATCGGTGAGAATGTGAAAAATAAGTAAGCGGGCACGAAATGCGTGACGCGACTAAGCGTGACGGGGAGCTTTTCGAGTGACCTGGTATGTCCGCATCGTAGCATGCAAATTGCGCGCTTTGTTCATAAAATTTTTTGCAAGAGCAAAACACAAATGGCGAGAGGCGTATTCGCGTGGCGCCGGATTCATGACGCCGGCCGGGTTAAGAATTAAAGTCGACATCAATGCGGTAACCATGCGGCTCGCTAGACTTGCCAATTGCAATTGCGCCAATTTGCATCCGGTCATGCGCGCACCGGCACGCAAGCACGCATGCATGCATCCACGCATACGAGCACGCACCTCCACGCGCGACGTTTATTCGTGCGCGGTCATGCGCGTCTCGGGACCGTTCACTTGATAATAATTAATAATCTCGCGTCCCTCTCTTCTCCCACTCTCCCTTCCCTCTCCCCTCCTTCGCCGCGAGACTTTTCTATGGCCGCCCAGAACATCATCGTCATTCATCAAGAGGACTATCTCGACTTGGTTTCCCCGATAAGGCCGAGAGATTTCTCTTCGCCGAGAGCCATGTGCTTTTCGTCGACGGCATCTATGCCAATTGCAATTGCGCCAATTTGCATCCGGTCATGCGCGCACCGGCACGCAAGCACGCATGCATGCATCCACGCATACGAGCACGCACCTCCACGCGCGACGTTTATTCGTGCGCGGTCATGCGCGTCTCGGGACCGTTCACTTGATAATAATTAATAATCTCGCGTCCCTCTCTTCTCCCACTCTCCCTTCCCTCTCCCCTCCTTCGCCGCGAGACTTTTCTATGGCCGCCCAGAACATCATCGTCATTCATCAGGAGGACTATCTCGACTTGGTTTCCCCGATAAGGCCGAGAAGAGATTTCTCTTCGCCGAGAGCCATGTGCTTTTCGTCGACGGCATCTACGAGGCATTGATTTCGGTCGAGAGTCGCGGCGCGCTTTTCGGAGCAGGTGGCCGTTCAACCGTCTGGAAATAAATGGGAAGGTGCGAAGAGCGCCCGGTTTGATAAGTGCGCCTACCGGGGGCGTCGACTCGTTCGACCAAGGAATTATTCGAACAAACGATAACGCTACGGTAAACACGCGTGAAACCATTAAGGCTCGACCTGCGAGCGAGCGTTAATTCACGGGATGGTTGCTCACCGATAGTTGTTAGCTGCACACACAGTGCGTCAGATAATATACGAGTAAAACTTGATGGATACACATTACGGTTAACGATAAAACGAGTTGGATTCTACACATAGAAATATACGAAGAAGGAACGACTCTGTTTGCGGCGCTCTCCATTATGTTGACGTTATGGAGGTTGATTGACCTGCTGAGTTCCAATCTTAGTGCTGTATTTTTATCACTATCACTAAAGAATGAAAATATGTCGGATACATAATTTAAGATTTCTTTCGTAGCTGAAACATTCTTTTTTGTTGTTATGGAACGTATCTGTCTCATCTCGAATTTTCAAACGATATTCGAGAATTAAACTAGCAAGCTATTTCATGATAACACTAGAAGCAAGCGTGTAAACACGACATCTAATACGGTTGATAGAATAGAACAATTTGTCAAAGCTGTCGACGATTGTTCAATTACGAATGATGATAAAGCCGCAATGTCGAAGATTTGATTCTACTCATATCATACTGAGAATCAATGATTTTAGGTTTCGCCAATAACGCATCGGTATTTCATGTTCTTGCACTCTAAAAAAAAATTGAACTTCGAAAATAGATACAATCCTTTCTGCTCATTCTCAAAAATCATAAGGTACAATCGCAAATGATACGCCCGCCGATACAACACTTACTACCGGGTCTTCATACATATCTCAGACTCATATCTTGCGCAAAATTAAATTACTCTCGAATTTAATCGCGTTATCGATATCCTTTAATTAGTATTAATCTTTATCAAGACGTCGCTAATATACGAAGAACGTTTATCTGCGAAGCGGATAAAGCCGATTCTTCGCTGCACGTGCGTGTTAAAGCGGCTTTCACGGCATTCTCGTTTGCATTATTAAACCAAATTCAAATAAATCCTTGACCATCGGATTAGTAGACGCCAAAGTTAATTATTCGGATGAATGAAACTTTCTACAAGTGCAAATATATGGTCAGAGTAACGCAAGGACCATCGAACCTGTTCGTATATATTATGCTTGTGCATGTGCATATAATGTGTTTATGTGGGTGAGTGTGAATGTCAGGAAGAGGGCACAGGGCGAAACGGAGGAACCAATTTTGGAGAAGTGGCTACCAACTAATGGCAATTAGGGGTTGTATGAGTGGCTGGCCGTGGCGGCGCATAAGCGTGCGTTGGAATTTACGAGGACGAACGCGCGGCACCAACGTAATATTACAGATAGCTTTATCGTTTGCGATCAATACGGATATCAAATAATGGGTATCAAATAATCGCACCACGTGCGGCCGAAATACATTAACATATTATATAAGCTTCCAAGAACAAAATGAAGAACGAAATAATCTTGTAATTATGGAATTAGGTTTCTTCATATTAATGGATATGTCATAGTCATATGGTACGGTCATTCGTTATAATTGTGACATTAGGGTCAAAGATGGATCTATATGGAAAGTAATGATACTTAAGCTTAAGACTTGGCGACAGTTATCGGTTGATAGACAATAATCTTTATTCGGAATATGCTCATTTCCAAAATAATATATCATCGTTCTTTTGGGGTTAAACTCGTGTGTTTCTTAGATCAATACAATCATAGCATTTAAATTAAAAAAACATTGAATCAAATTTCTAAATCACCGTCGCATGAAATATAGGTCGGAAAGAGAATAAAATTGATATCGGAAACAGATATTGGTCATGTACGGGAGAGAGAGAGAGAAAGAAAAAATACAATTGCATTTTAGTATTGAGACTTTAATTCTGTCAGAAAACGTATTATTCCGTATCGTTTTAGCATCAAGATCGTTGGAACTATTTCGAATACAGGAGATCGTAGATGTTCCAGCAAAAGTGGATTTTAAAATAATAACTAACAAACACAAAAAGAGTTGGTGATTGGGGGATCAATCACGAAAAATAACTGTGAACGAGTTATATGATCGAGTTTTGCATAACAAGAATAGAGTAATTTACAACCGTACAGTATGTCCACGTAAAGAAGGCGTAAAGGATGGAAGATGAACGATAAGAGTAATTTGTGCTGTTACGAAGTAAACGTTCGTCTTTTCAAGAATCTCTTACAACGATAGTAAACGACACAAGATACGATACGATTCTCTCTCTCCCTCTCTCTCTTGTGACTTTGAGAATTAAACAATTAAAATTTATCATTGTCGCGCGAAGAACAGGGTTTTACTCGCGACTATCGACTGAGCTGCTTCGCGACAATCCTCTTTAATTCCTTTTGTAAATCACGAAGCGAATGTAGAGTCGTTCAGTGTACCCGGCAACGAAATTTCGGAATGATTTTGCGAATACGTTTCTCCGTAATTTTCTATAGAATTAACATTCCGGTATCGTCATTATTCTGACCGTTTAATCTTATTCCCGGATTTTTCCCGGCACAAAACTGAGCACGAATGCTCTTGTAGTAATAGAAAATCTTTCTCGCCATTTCACTCGCTAGGGAACTTTGAAACAGTAGCGATCCGCGCATAAAGTTGATTAAATTAATGTCCGGCATCACGGAAACTTGGTTATGTATACCGTGTTTAGCAATAAACTTTATTTATGTTTGCAATAGGCATCTTTTTAAATAACATAATAGAGAAAGAAAAAAAAAATGGGAATTATAAAAAATCTCTCATATTATAAATGGACAATGCAAGAATATCTATATTTATTTTTTTCTTTTTATGTGAAAGCAAAACACACGTCACTTTAAATTTAGATAATAAGTGAACAATTTTATAATATGTAAATAACTCTTTCGTCGAGACATAAGCTTCTCTGCTTTTGTTCAATATTGCAATATCTCGTTTTTCTTTAATTAAATTAAAAGCACTAAAAGAAAATACTGTATATTCTATAGTTAACGATTATATGAAAACCATCATATATTTTACTGTTACAGTAAAACCGTTGGTAGTTCAAATCTTGACAAAGGAAGCGCGAGTTTCAGCTGGTTCACGGCCAGAAGCAGTGATCACATGGTGGAAAGCAAACAAGCCAATCAAGAAGATGGCTCAAACCGTAAGTCTAATATATATTTTGCGTATATAAATTATCTTATGTATGATAAAATTGCTATGAAAAATGGAAATAGTGATCACTCTAAAAAATAATGCGCGCTTCATCACTTAAATGCAAAAGGGGAAAAAAACACATTTGTTTTTTTTACTAAAAAATTCTCTCGAGCACAATTTGAAGATGTTAAATGTCAGCATTTGGTTTGTAACTTTTTGACGACCAATATTTATAATGCTCTTATAAAATAACGCAAATAAGATTGAGAATGGATAAATTTGAGTATTTTTCGGTATACATTTTTTTCGCTTTATGTTCTCTGCAGAATTTTCTCTTTCTGTCTCTTTCTCTCATTATAATGCAGAATTATTTCCTTCGATATATTAATTTATGCTATAAACTATATTTAATCGAATCAAGATTGTCATGATATGTAAAATAAACTAATACTATGCTGAAAATTAAAATACGAATGTTATTTTATGAGCGAATTAGGAATGTTATCTGACCGCAAAATGAACAAAAGTACTCGTATACAAAAGAATACAGATTGATCCATAACTCATGTGTCAAGTATTCGAGTTCGAAAAATTGCACCGAGTGTTTTTATCAAGATGATATTGCCGGTCGGATGTGAGCATCGTCGAAGATCTTGAAAACGGTTAGCGTCGTAAACGTCGCTGAAATGCGTTATACAATTCGGGAAAAAATTTTTAGAATCGACGTCCCGCAACTTGCCGCAGTTTACGACGATTCGTGCGGAAGTTAGAACGATGCAGTTATTTCGTTTTTTTTGCGGGCGACTTTTCGTGAACTCTTCTTTTTCGTTCGTTCGTGCGTTCTTTCATCCTCCATCCCCGACACCTTCTCCCGCAGTGACAGAGTGAGTATGAAAGTTCGCGATCCAGTAGATCCTTACTTGATAAACTTTTTCAAGGTTTAACTTTCTTTTTTCATTTTTGATACGCGCGGCACGTAGAGGTCCGTCGCCTGTACCACGAAATGTTTCAGTAATGCTTGAGAACGTTAAATTTTTAAAATGTCTCACCAGATGTAACTGTCCCCCTCTTACCTCAAGAAGCAACTTGGTCACTAGCTATTTCGCCGCCGTGTATACTCCACGAGAGAGTTCTACCTTTTCACATAAAAATGTATCACATACGTATCGATTGTGTATCGTGTTATTTTAATAAATTACGATTGTATCAATCGTAAATTCACTGAAATACATTGTTATCACTTCTGAATTAATGTGTAACGTATCGCGAGTCAGTTATCGGAATTTAACAATTTAAACGTTAAATAAAATATTCATTGATATCATTGAATGATATATGCAACATTTGTGATCATTGTCAATTATTGAATGATATATGCAATATTTGTAATGCATCCCACGTTTTCATGATATTTAAGTTTTATGATGTTTAAGATAATTATGCGTAGAAAGCAACATGTAGGCCGATATCATAATTGCGGGGTAATATAAATTAGATAACAACAATGAAGAGATAGTTGATAATTCAATCATTTATAAACTGTTATATATAACTGCAGCATAACGTTAGAGAGAGAGATATGATCTATTCCGAAAAAAATACAATTCCATGTTGCACGCACATTCTTAATAACTTAATAATCAAATCGCTCACACAAACGTATATATATATATATATATATCGCGTTTTATTTTATTTAATTTAAAATATAGGCTCTTCAGAATACATCCATTAAAATAGTTTAAAATTTTAACCATTTCCATTGTACCATACACGCCGCATGAAACGCTAATTTTACGTATGTAAAAATGCATTGAATAAGCTTCGCTGATGAAAGTATTCGGCATTTTTGCATATCAGGATTTTACGATGACAGAGCGATGTTACCCTTTTATGCTTATTCCATATATTTTTACTACGCCATTATTTTATCCGCGAGGGAAAATATTTGAAGTACTTGTGATAGCTATTACCACACATGACAATATCAGAATATTTCATACAATGTTATATTATGAATTTTTCCCTGCTGTTACATGGATAAATACATTTGTTCGGAGAGTTAAATTTTTTCCGATATGCTCTCAATTAAAAATCCTAAACAAATTCTAAAAAGAACATTTTCACGTACAACACGTGATGCGAATAAAAAAATGCATTTTTTTATCTTTGGATCTTATGAATAAATTGTGATACTGAAAAATTGATATTTGTATATGTCTTTCGCGGATCTCTTGTTTTTCGCTGTATGCGTTTGTATTTTGGAATCGTAAATTCTCGCTTTTCGCGAGAAATGCCGAAAAGTAATCAAGATATTATCACATTTATAAGAGATTTCATTCGCGCAAAATCGATTAAATAAAATCTTTTTTTATCACATCCGCGGGAATCCTCTTAGAAAACGGAGTTAGGAAATACCGTGTTGGTAACGTTCGACCGACGTATGCAAACAGTGTGACTGTAACGTCACTCTACGTACGATCTACCTCTGCACGATATATCGATGCCCGTGTGTTGGACTGTCCAGAGGATTTTATCGGGAAATTCGATCGCGTCGCACACCGAGATGCACTGAAAGTGCAACGCAGCGAAGCTTACAAAAAAAACGCAAGAGAGACAGAAAAAACGAGAAAGAAAGAGAGAGGCAGCAACGCCACATTCATCCTGACGAACCATTACTTCCATTCATCGTATTCGCGATACTGATGCCGGTACGTGGCTTTTCCGATATATATGCCCGATGGTGCTATCATTAAAATGACATCGTGAAAGCGGGAGGGACACAAGCCGTGATGGAGAGAGGAAAGCGTCAGCGATGCGACCCGCGTGTCCTGGTCCCTTCATCCTCCATTTCCCGTCGTTGCTCTAAGCATCATAAATCTTGAAAAACCGTTAATCCCCGGTGCTCTTTTATTTCGGCATCACTTCGGTCTAACAGCTTCCAACGATGTTAAATTAATATTAGCAGAGCGAACGCGCGTGACGCCCTGTGAAAAATAAAACGGTGCTTTCAACGGCGGAAATGAGAAATATTCAAATTACGCTTACGAATCATGCGAAGATAACAGAGTATGTTAATGTGCTAATTAGTTTATGCGACTAACAGATCGTGCGCGCGCGGTTACGCTAATCGCACAAACTTTTTAATCGCTGTATGAAATATGCACGTTAAAAAATCATTACGCACAGAAACAGTTGATTCCCTAAATCGGTGATGTAAATTATTAGTCCGATTTATTCGATAAATTAATAAGTCAATGCATATATTCGATTTCGTGTACTAACTAGGTCGAAAGAATCGACTCCAAAATCAATATGCGTATTTAATTACAGTATTCGCTCGAGAACAATCAAACTTTGAGTATCCTCAGCTTCGTGCCAACTATAGAGGACGACGGTAAATACTTGACATGCCGCGCGGAAAATCCTGCTATATCTGACAGCGCGCTGGAGGATAAGTGGCGGCTTGACGTACAATATCAGCCCGTGGTCAATTTAAGGATGGGCGAAACGTTGAATCCGGACGACATCAAAGAAGGCGACGACGTGTACTTTGAGTGTATAGTACGGGCAAATCCGAAGGTGTACAAGCTTGCTTGGTTCAAGGACGTAAGTAACACACTCTCGCGTGTCTATCATGATACCCGAAGAAACATTCTTACGGCATATTTGCAGTTTTGTTGTACAACCGTACCGTTCTGCTCTTTCGTTGGGGTTTATGCAAATTTTATTACTTCTCCATTAGATAATTCGCGCGTATATCATTTCGCGTAATTTTTCACTACACAGTTTCCATTAATGCGCGAGTATTTTTTTCAAATTACATTGTAATTGCAATTAAGATATTATTATTATACTCGTATTCTCTCACCACGCAAAATTGCACATGTTTACAGGGTAAAGAATTAAAGAATAATTCTACGGCGGGTGTAGTCCTCAGCGATCACTCTCTCGTCCTCCAAGGATTGACACGTTACTCCGCCGGTGATTACACCTGTCTTGCGGCGAACAGCGAGGGAAAGACCGCCAGTAATCCAGTGTCCCTTCAGATAATGTGTAAGTCGCAGGCAGTTATAGTACTTGTATAATTAATAGGCGAATTATCACGATTGAGAATTGGCCAGAGTAAACAATATATCGCTCTAATAGCATTAGAGCGTATGTCTCTCATAACGCGGCATCGATTCCCCCAATTTCCCTCTCGCAGCTACGATCCCTCGATAATTACTTAATCGATGGTAAGCAACTCCGCAGTGTGAACAGAGGCAAGCACAGCGAGGCGTTTGTCGAACGCAGGAGAAACGAACTCGACGTTTAAACCGGGGGATGGGGATGGGAAAACGACGGAGGATAAAGGGGCAAACGGGAGGAGCACGGGAGATAGGGTGTATAGTTTTCTATGAAACACGGAACGCGGGTTATTCTATTAGAATGGTCGGTGCCCCTGGTGCCATGGGGTGCCTGGCGTATCTGCATCTTGTAAATGACCTAAGAGGGAAGGAAGGACTGCGATGCATATTCAGTGTATGTAAAGCGTAGCTGAATATTCATGTGTGGGTGAACGCAGACTGGCAATGTGCTAAGCTAGGCCGGAGCAGACGTACGGCGGGGCGTACGTAACTCAAGAAGACCGCGAGAAATCCGTTCCGATATTTTAAATCCGTCACGTTGTGAGCATGATGACGTCGATCTCTCGCATTCGCGCGGGACTTTGAACAATCCGCGATAGCACCGCGATATATATACGTCACGATATAGTGTTACAAAACCGCCAAGTCGTGTCATGAGACGCGAAAGATTTTCCCATGCTTTTTCGAGATGCATTCGAGATATTTTTATATCACTTTCGTGATATAAAAATTTAATCTGCATCGTACGCCGCTTGCGCGATAAATTTGAGATTTGATTGTAAAATGTCATGATGTATCTTTGTCAATAATATTTTAATATAAACGCTCTCTGTGCATCTTGACGAAAATTATTATACCTAATATTCTAATAAATTTTAAAAGATGCATAATTTAGTATAATGTAATTTAAAAAGGAAAAAGTTTAAGAAAAATAAGATATTTTCTGCAATCCTTCTTCATGTTGTACGAGAGCGTGTATGAGATAGTAAGATTTGTGAATTCTATTCTAAACAACTAACTGTTTGCAATGCAAATCGTGTAAGTACGGGAAGATTTCTGGTCAACACACATTTGATTTACAAATTTAGAAGTTTGCTAATATCTATATAGGTTAGAGTATATTTAAATCTTGATTATTCTAAATCTCTAATGAATTATAAATTTTTAAATTTACATGTTCTCTATTTTAACAATAGACAATTAAGCACATATACTATTTATAAAATTTTATAATTTTTTTATGTCTTTATCAGCTTTATTTGTATTGCTGTATTTTTTTAGTTTATTTCTAAAGTATCACAATTAGTAGTATTAATAAGTAGAACGGAACATATTGATTATTGCTCATTGAATAGTTAACGAACATACGCGATTTGACTTTCTGGGTTTTCGAACATTTATTATGAAGCATCTAATTTGTTTTTGTTAGAATGGAGAAAAGAAGGAAGAGTATATGTTGAATGTTTTACAAGCGAGACAGACTTTGACCCGACAAATTTCTCTACTTATCCTGGAGAAATTGCAAAATTATTCAAGTTGTATTTTTCTTAGAAACACATAACAACGTAAAAATATATTGTTCCTTGTTACATTTTCCTAAATTGTACAAGTTAATAAAATAGCGAATTTTCATAAAAATGTTACTTTTACGAATGGAGGGTAAATGAAATAGTACGGTTGTGAAAGGATGGTTGAACAAAATAAACGACCCGATTACATCTCAGATGGTTTATAAAAGAACTGCGAAATATACCGAGACGTATCCAAGAAAGCATCTTGTGGTATTTCGCGAAGCTATTTTCGTTTTAGAATATGTCGCGTCAAACACAAGTAGAAGAGATCAACCTGATTTCTCGTAGAAACGGTGAACTTGGAAAACGATCGTTATTCCAAAGTGTATATATGAGATATCGGAGTAAACAGACATACCCATCCAGGTGATGCACCGTAACTCCGCTGCAGCATCTCCCCAACTTCTCATCTTCGCAATTAATTTAGTACCGCATAGACTGTATCAAATTGCAACCAGACAGTCTCTCTATCCGTGATTCCCAGCCTTCGGTCGTAAATCATCACTCCAGCCATGTGGGACTTCCGCATGTCATAGCCTATCGCAAATACCGATGTCAAGGGAATTTCCTATTAGACTATCGATCGACCGTTGCAGCGAGCTGAACGTTGCCGAGCTGCTTCTTCTTCCGTTTGACACCCGCTGATCTCGCTGGGATATCGACGGCGCGCGCGAGCATCAATACCGGTGCAATGTATACCGGAACGTCAGAATATCCATTTAAATCGCCGCTAGTATTATTTCACGACAAGAACAGAATGTTGATTGATTTACGGTTGTACGTACGGTTGAGCGCAACGCTGGGGAAACATAAATTAATCAGAATCGCTTTTTATGCTTATCATCGGACAATGAAATTTCTCGAGGCAGAAGAACGTAGAGACTGCATATACTTTGTTATACATTAATCTTGACAAGCGAGCCATAAATCATTCCTATATACTTCAAACTTTGCGCTACTCTATCGTTGTTCGTAGAGAGGCCACCGTTGGCAAAGTACGACTTTGTTTGCAGATGCGCCGGTGTGCAAGGAGGGCAAGAGCGAGGTGGTAGTAGGCGCTTTGAAACAGGAAACCGTGTCATTAGTGTGCTCCGTGGAGAGCCATCCGGCGCCGGTGACTTTTCACTGGACATTCAATAATTCCGGCGAACTCGTCGAGGTACCGCACTCGCGTTATTCTCACGTATCGGCTCCCGGCACGCCATCCGTCGCGGACAACCTGAAAGAGTACCAACAGTTTCACGGATCCAGACTGAACTACACACCAGCCACGGAAATGGATTACGGTACGGTGGCATGCTGGGCGAGCAACCAGGTTGGCAAGCAACGAACACCCTGCCTCTTTCAGGCAAGTACTTTTCCGCCTGTGCCTTTTCGCTTCTTTACGTACGCGACTTCCGACGTGTGATTCAGAATTTCGTGCTCTTAGCTTTTTAACGCGCACGTGAACCGAATGCATGCGAATAGACGTACGATAAATGCTTTTATTGAAATATAAGAGATCATTTTTTTTTTCTATTTCACTGTATTAGAATTGTGTAGATTTCCTGGTCAATGTCAAGTCGATCTAATAAAGCTCTCGATGCATTAATCATTTCTGTATAATCAAAGGTTAAAAATGAGAGTTTCTTTGAAAATACATTTCACGAGGCAAATATAGGATCCAAGCCATATTCCTGAATTAACTTTAAATGAATTTCAATAGACGTTAAAAATTTACGAGACTCAATTGTAAGGAGAAAAAAATGTATTGTTGAAAATTACGAAATGATATACAAATGATAAACATACTTATTATATAAAAAAAAATTATTATCAGTTTGTCATTAAAGTCACTCAAATTACGTTTTGACAATTTATTACTAAATTTTGGTAAACGTTGGATATTTTTGTGTATTTTATAATCTTTTGACAAAAAATTCAATACTATGTTTGAATCCCCTTTATAATTTTATTTTCTTTTAATTTTTTGGTAATTTGTTATTAAACTTTGATAAATGCATTTGGCATTTTATATATATTTTATAATCTTTTGACAAAAAATTCAAAACTATGTTTAAATCCCCTTTATAATTTTATTTTTATTATGTTTTAGCTTGCTTGGTTCAAGGACGTAAGTAACACACTCTCGCGTGTCTATCATGATACCCGAAGAAACATTCTTACGGCATATTTGCAGTTTTGTTGTACAACCGTACCGTTCTGCTCTTTCGTTGGGGTTTATGCAAATTTTATTACTTCTCCATTAGATAATTCGCGCGTATATCATTTCGCGTAATTTTTCACTACACAGTTTCCATTAATGCGCGAGTATTTTTTTCAAATTACATTGTAATTGCAATTAAGATATTATTATTATACTCGTATTCTCTCACCACGCAAAATTGCACATGTTTACAGGGTAAAGAATTAAAGAATAATTCTACGGCGGGTGTAGTCCTCAGCGATCACTCTCTCGTCCTCCAAGGATTGACACGTTACTCCGCCGGTGATTACACCTGTCTTGCGGCGAACAGCGAGGGAAAGACCGCCAGTAATCCAGTGTCCCTTCAGATAATGTGTAAGTCGCAGGCAGTTATAATACTTGTATAATTAATAGGCGAATTATCACGATTGAGAATTGGCCAGAGTAAACAATATATCGCTCTAATAGCATTAGAGCGTATGTCTCTCATAACGCGGCATCGATTCCCCCAATTTCCCTCTCGCAGCTACGATCCCTCGATAATTACTTAATCGATGGTAAGCAACTCCGCAGTGTGAACAGAGGCAAGCACAGCGAGGCGTTTGTCGAACGCAGGAGAAACGAACTCGACGTTTAAACCGGGGGATGGGGATGGGAAAACGACGGAGGATAAAGGGGCAAACGGGAGGAGCACGGGAGATAGGGTGTATAGTTTTCTATGAAACACGGAACGCGGGTTATTCTATTAGAATGGTCGGTGCCCCTGGTGCCATGGGGTGCCTGGCGTATCTGCATCTTGTAAATGACCTAAGAGGGAAGGAAGGACTGCGATGCATATTCAGTGTATGTAAAGCGTAGCTGAATATTCATGTGTGGGTGAACGCAGACTGGCAATGTGCTAAGCTAGGCCGGAGCAGACGTACGGCGGGGCGTACGTAACTCAAGAAGACCGCGAGAAATCCGTTCCGATATTTTAAATCCGTCACGTTGTGAGCATGATGACGTCGATCTCTCGCATTCGCGCGGGATTTTGAACAATCCGCGATAGCACCGCGATATATATACGTCACGATATAGTGTTACAAAACCGCCAAGTCGTGTCATGAGACGCGAAAGATTTTCCCATGCTTTTTCGAGATGCATTCGAGATATTTTTATATCACTTTCGTGATATAAAAATTTAATCTGCATCGTACGCCGCTTGCGCGATAAATTTGAGATTTGATTGTAAAATGTCATGATGTATCTTTGTCAATAATATTTTAATATAAACGCTCTCTGTGCATCTTGACGAAAATTATTATACCTAATATTCTAATAAATTTTAAAAGATGCATAATTTAGTATAATGTAATTTAAAAAGGAAAAAGTTTAAGAAAAATAAGATATTTTCTGCAATCCTTCTTCATGTTGTACGAGAGCGTGTATGAGATAGTAAGATTTGTGAATTCTATTCTAAACAACTAACTGTTTGCAATGCAAATCGTGTAAGTACGGGAAGATTTCTGGTCAACACACATTTGATTTACAAATTTAGAAGTTTGCTAATATCTATATAGGTTAGAGTATATTTAAATCTTGATTATTCTAAATCTCTAATGAATTATAAATTTTTAAATTTACATGTTCTCTATTTTAACAATAGACAATTAAGCACATATACTATTTATAAAATTTTATAATTTTTTTATGTCTTTATCAGCTTTATTTGTATTGCTGTATTTTTTTAGTTTATTTCTAAAGTATCACAATTAGTAGTATTAATAAGTAGAACGGAACATATTGATTATTGCTCATTGAATAGTTAACGAACATACGCGATTTGACTTTCTGGGTTTTCGAACATTTATTATGAAGCATCTAATTTGTTTTTGTTAGAATGGAGAAAAGAAGGAAGAGTATATGTTGAATGTTTTACAAGCGAGACAGACTTTGACCCGACAAATTTCTCTACTTATCCTGGAGAAATTGCAAAATTATTCAAGTTGTATTTTTCTTAGAAACACATAACAACGTAAAAATATATTGTTCCTTGTTACATTTTCCTAAATTGTACAAGTTAATAAAATAGCGAATTTTCATAAAAATGTTACTTTTACGAATGGAGGGTAAATGAAATAGTACGGTTGTGAAAGGATGGTTGAACAAAATAAACGACCCGATTACATCTCAGATGGTTTATAAAAGAACTGCGAAATATACCGAGACGTATCCAAGAAAGCATCTTGTGGTATTTCGCGAAGCTATTTTCGTTTTAGAATATGTCGCGTCAAACACAAGTAGAAGAGATCAACCTGATTTCTCGTAGAAACGGTGAACTTGGAAAACGATCGTTATTCCAAAGTGTATATATGAGATATCGGAGTAAACAGACATACCCATCCAGGTGATGCACCGTAACTCCGCTGCAGCATCTCCCCAACTTCTCATCTTCGCAATTAATTTAGTACCGCATAGACTGTATCAAATTGCAACCAGACAGTCTCTCTATCCGTGATTCCCAGCCTTCGGTCGTAAATCATCACTCCAGCCATGTGGGACTTCCGCATGTCATAGCCTATCGCAAATACCGATGTCAAGGGAATTTCCTATTAGACTATCGATCGACCGTTGCAGCGAGCTGAACGTTGCCGAGCTGCTTCTTCTTCCGTTTGACACCCGCTGATCTCGCTGGGATATCGACGGCGCGCGCGAGCATCAATACCGGTGCAATGTATACCGGAACGTCAGAATATCCATTTAAATCGCCGCTAGTATTATTTCACGACAAGAACAGAATGTTGATTGATTTACGGTTGTACGTACGGTTGAGCGCAACGCTGGGGAAACATAAATTAATCAGAATCGCTTTTTATGCTTATCATCGGACAATGAAATTTCTCGAGGCAGAAGAACGTAGAGACTGCATATACTTTGTTATACATTAATCTTGACAAGCGAGCCATAAATCATTCCTATATACTTCAAACTTTGCGCTACTCTATCGTTGTTCGTAGAGAGGCCACCGTTGGCAAAGTACGACTTTGTTTGCAGATGCGCCGGTGTGCAAGGAGGGCAAGAGCGAGGTGGTAGTAGGCGCTTTGAAACAGGAAACCGTGTCATTAGTGTGCTCCGTGGAGAGCCATCCGGCGCCGGTGACTTTTCACTGGACATTCAATAATTCCGGCGAACTCGTCGAGGTACCGCACTCGCGTTATTCTCACGTATCGGCTCCCGGCACGCCATCCGTCGCGGACAACCTGAAAGAGTACCAACAGTTTCACGGATCCAGACTGAACTACACACCAGCCACGGAAATGGATTACGGTACGGTGGCATGCTGGGCGAGCAACCAGGTTGGCAAGCAACGAACACCCTGCCTCTTTCAGGCAAGTACTTTTCCGCCTGTGCCTTTTCGCTTCTTTACGTACGCGACTTCCGACGTGTGATTCAGAATTTCGTGCTCTTAGCTTTTTAACGCGCACGTGAACCGAATGCATGCGAATAGACGTACGATAAATGCTTTTATTGAAATATAAGAGATCATTTTTTTTTTCTATTTCACTGTATTAGAATTGTGTAGATTTCCTGGTCAATGTCAAGTCGATCTAATAAAGCTCTCGATGCATTAATCATTTCTGTATAATCAAAGGTTAAAAATGAGAGTTTCTTTGAAAATACATTTCACGAGGCAAATATAGGATCCAAGCCATATTCCTGAATTAACTTTAAATGAATTTCAATAGACGTTAAAAATTTACGAGACTCAATTGTAAGGAGAAAAAAATGTATTGTTGAAAATTACGAAATGATATACAAATGATAAACATACTTATTATATAAAAAAAAATTATTATCAGTTTGTCATTAAAGTCACTCAAATTACGTTTTGACAATTTATTACTAAATTTTGGTAAACGTTGGATATTTTTGTGTATTTTATAATCTTTTGACAAAAAATTCAATACTATGTTTGAATCCCCTTTATAATTTTATTTTCTTTTAATTTTTTGGTAATTTGTTATTAAACTTTGATAAATGCATTTGGCATTTTATATATATTTTATAATCTTTTGACAAAAAATTCAAAACTATGTTTAAATCCCCTTTATAATTTTATTTTTATTATGTTTTATTTTATTTTATTTTATTTTATTTTATTTTCATGAAATTTATAAAACATCACACCAACTAATCGGAGACATAATACATCATATCGTTGCGCAGAACAGATTTTGAAATTTATTACAACAAAGAGATTATATTGCTTTATTTTTGTCCACGTTACAATAAATGTTTCAGTTGTATATATGTAGGTTTCACTAATATTTTGTGCAAATTTCATTTATAGGACCGTAAAAATGTTTGTTTCTTTTACGCGACAAAATAGTATATTTTTTTATTAATATTTATAACATCTTATGAATAACTAATGTTTCATTTTTCATCAAATATATTTCGGAGTGTCCCATAAAAATTTTTCGCAGGGCAACTTTTTTATCTTTGGATATTATTCTATACGCGAGAGAGAAAGAGAATTGTATAGTTCTTGTTAGATTGCTTAGCATATCATAAAAGAAAAATTCTATTCGTAATTTTATTCAATATGACGTTTATCGTAATATCGTAATTTATTTTAATCTGATATCAAGAGGTTTTTTTGATTGATAAAACTGAAACACGGAGCTCTTTCGATTATTGCGCCGATTCTTAGCCGTGCCGATCTGATAGTTAACTATTCTTATTGTACTCTTCAAATATTCCGGTATTTACACGACGTACGTCATGTTGCCAGCTATTTCCTTCATAAATTTTACACATTGTACACCCTGGCATCACTATGCTCCATACATTTTCATTTTGATCGATCGACAGTATCTACAAAGAATGCAGGGGTTGCCTTCTTTGACGGTACAAACTGTGTTCGTATCTGACGTGCATATGAGAGTCTTCGAACGTGTGTAAAGTCGTTTATTGCCGCTGTAGAAAAGATCGATCGATCTCTTCTATAAGACTATAATAGAAGAATACACGATGTATAAGTATATCAGTTCAAACTTTTTGTTAAATTATGTATGCAGTTACGCGCGATAATATAAATGTAGCATTTAAAAACTATACTAAAAAAATTTCTGTTCGAGGTTTGAGCTTTTTCTTATGCAATGACGATTAAACTTTGCTTCGTTTGTAGCGACAAAAAAATGTATTATTCGACTAAATATATTTCATCTCGGGCTTATGTATACTTGTTTCAGGTTATAGCCGCGGGTCGTCCGTACGCTCTTCACAATTGCAGCGCGACGGAGATGTCGGCGCCCCTGGATATGGAGGAACTCGGTACGAAGTCGGGAACAGGACTAGTAGTCCGATGCCTGGAGGGCTACGACGGCGGTCTTCCTATATACAGTTATCAGCTCGAGGTCGTGGCTGACGAGGACGGAAGTCCGATTCTGTTTAATAAAACCGTGCCGGCAGGTCCCAATGGGCCGACCTTCGAAGTCGCGGGACTGACGACAGGAAGAAGCTATCGACTTTTTCTTTACGCACTTAATGCGAAGGGAAGGAGCGAGCCCGCCATTCTCGAGCCAGTAACATTGAAGGGTGTCGCTATGTACACGACTGGTGAGTACATTTACTTTTTCAAAACATTTTTCTATTAATAAAACTTGAAAATTTTTGCGGATGTTAAGAAAATTACTGTTTTATTTTTTCTTTTTTTTTTTATTATGATATATGTATGACGAAAAACTTGGAATATCATTAAATATTATTAATTAAAATATTTAATTTCATGAATTTTAATAAATATTGCAAGAGAAATTTAAGTTTCAAACATTGAATATATATCATAAGACTGTTCAAAATTTTGATAATGCTATAAATATAATTATTTATTGCAAGAATTTGTTGAGCACGTTCTAAGTTTGAGAAAAACTATGAAAAGTTTTTTTTCGGTAACAATAATGATTATTCTCGTATTACGTGTAAGTAGAAAAAGAGAGATAAAACGTTTTATTCGAAAGTTGCACAAACAGACTTATAAACGCAGTATGAACGACTTGTAAAGTTACTGGATGAAGAACTCAGTAATAATATATATGAATTTGCTTTGCAACTATATTACATACATTTCTTTATGATTCTATATACTCTTCATTATATCTAAATTTCTTACATTAAAAATATGTTCGCGCATACTATCCTTTATTCTAGAAAAAACTTATGGCTCGTTAATTGCCTCATCCACATTGCGCAAAACGCGGATTTAGACATTTTTTTACACAGGAATACATAGATCTCTTGCTAATAGCGGGGAATGAAAGAGTTGTATTCGTCAGCCGAACCGGTTTCCTTTCCCAACTTCCTACATTTACGCGCCGATCGTTGGTTGCTGCAACAATAACAGTCACGCTACGAGGTTTTTTTTTTTTTTTTCGTCGGGTACCGCTGAAAAACCGAACGGACGTGCTCTCTGAAAAATGACGTGGACCGGCCGGAAAAAAACGCTGAATTTCGCTTTTGACGGTCCATTAGCGCGCGTTCGGGGACTCGGTGCGCGTATAGCGCCTATTATACTCCTGATAGACATCGCAAGGACAGCGGATATGATCGTAATTTCACAAATACTGCGAGCGGAAGCGCCAGTATTGCAATTAGTCGGTTAACCGCCCCCGTAGTCTCCTCGCCGTAGTCTCCGCGACAGGCTCACACTGCGGTCGGCGATGTTGTGAGCCGGTATCGGGATAGGTGTACGCGGGGAGGAGGGTGAATTCTACCGGCTTCTAGTGGAGATGGAAGCGACTGCCAGTAGCTAGAGCTTGTAATGCTGAACGCAGCACAACGCAACCGCAGGTATCGGACTCTGCGGACCTTGCAATTAACAAAACAGATTACTCTCAATCAACGAACACCTATACCCTGCTTCGGTGAACGCGACGTGACAGTTTCACTGGCTTTCTGCAACTCTCCATGCGATTCCGTGGGGAAATAGCAAACAGCGCGCGTCCTGCATTGATACACGTTGAGTTGAGTTACAGTCAGACTTCTTACTTTGAGCTGCGTACGTTAATCAAAGAAATTCGAAGATAATAAACGAATAAAGTTAGTTTTTCAATCAGATATATATATATA